GCAGGCGCATCTGCAGGCATCCAAGTCGCTCGAGAGCCTCGACACGTACCACCAGATTCTCCTTGCGCGGCTCGATCAGATGTACCACTCCACCCTTGCGGCCGACAAGGGGTTCGACTCCACCCAGGCCTATGCTGCGCTCGACCGCGAAATGGCGCTTCCCGGCGGCGAGTTCCTCTCGTACACCCAAGGCGCCAATCCTCAGGTCAGGTTCGGCCACCTGTTCGGCTACGGCTCGACGTACTACTCGTACCTGCTGGACCGTGTGATTGCAAGCAAGATCTGGAACCACCTGTTTGCCAAGGATCCACTCGACCGAGCCGCGGGCGAAACCTTCAAATCGCAATGCCTCAAGTTCGGCGGTGGCAAAGACCCATGGCACATCCTCGCAGACGTGCTCAAGCAGGACAACATCCGCGATGGAGACTCGCATGCGATGCAACAAGTCGGCCGTTGGGGCATCGAGTAGCTCTCCGTCACCTTGCATCATAGAGCGTCACAATGCATCATCATCACAGAGCAAACGAGAGAAATGCGTCATGTGTTGTAACATGGAGTGCTGTTGCGAATCCACAGTTCAGGCCATGGCGAGCTTGCTGTAGCTCGGCGGGGCGAGACGATTGCGCACCTCGCGCCAGACGTACAGGGGTAAGCTGCTGACGGCGACGATCACGGCGGTCTTCCAAAGGAAGCGGTACGACAGCACGAAGCCAAGGTCGAAGAACTCGGGCAGGAATACGATGCTGACACAGTAGAAGAAGAGCGTGACGATCTCGGACAGGATCATGTAGACGTGCCAGGTGGTGATCTCCAACGCGACCATGATGAGTTCGTTGACCACCAGCGCGGTAAACGAGATCGAGACGATGTTGAGAAACTCGTTCTCGAACAGCAGCAGCGAAAGGATCATGATCGCGCCTCCCTGGTACGTCGAGATCATGAGCCACGTGGTGAACGTCTTGGCCGAAAGCGAGCGGCCCTTTGTCAAGTCCTTGTACAGCTCGGGATACAGCAGAGCCAGATCCTCGCTGACGTCTCGATCGAGCACGAGCGAAAACACCGGCGCCATGGTATACACGGTGGCGTAGCCCACCATGAGCCAGCCCTGGTAGAGCGCGATGGGGGCAAAGTAGAAGATGCTCGAAAACACCGCCTGGATGATCGAGATGATGAGGCCGCGGTGGATGACAAACTGCGCGAGCTTGGCAGAGCGCTTGTACGAGTTGCGTCCGTGCCACACGAGCAGCTTGGTGAGGAAGCTGAACTGGGTGATGGAGAAGTCGGCTGCCAGCGACGCTTGCTTGCCCTCCTTTCCGACGATGCCCAGCCCTACGTCGGCAGCCTGGATCATCGATACGTCGTTGCCACCGTCGCCGATGCAGCACACGCGCTTCTTGGTGTGCGAGCGGATGAGGCGCGCCACGTCCGCCTTCTGCGTCGGAGAGCATCGGCACGCCACCACCGCCGACAGCTGCGTCGCCAGCTCGATAAACTCGTCGCGGAACGAGTCGAGGCACAACTGCAGTGATTCGCCATCGATGACGAGACAGCAGTCGAGCTTGGAGCGTAGAAAGTCGAGCATGTCTCGCACCGCATCGTGCGTGCGTAGCTTGGCAACCTGGTGCACGTACTGGTTGCGCGCAACGAGCTTGGACGAGATAGCGATGCACGTGGCCGTCTCGATCTTGTCGCCGGTGAGCATCCACACCTTGATGCCCGCATTGCGCAGCAGCTCGAGCGTCATCTTGACGTCTTCCTGCAGCTTGTCCTCGACGCCCGTGAGGCCGAGCAGCTCCAAGTTGTTCTCGAGGTGCTCCTCGATGGCGCGCGCCATGGCTTCGTTGCGATCCTCGACCTGCACTCGAGCCGCCTTGTAGGCGCGTTCGAATGCCAGCCAATTGTCGTGCGTCAGCCTCCTTCGCCCGACTACGAGGGTTCGCAGACCCTCTCGCGCCATGTTGCCGCACTCTTCGTCGAGCCAGTCGTTCTGCGCCACGATCTTGGCCATGACTACGTCGGCGCCCTTCTGGTAGAAGGTGATTTCGCCGCTTGCGCGTTCTCGAATGACAATGCCCATGCGTTTGGACTCGGAGGTGAAAGGGAATACCTCGAGGATGTCAAAGTGGAGCGTCGCTCCATCTGTGGCGCGCAGCGACATGGACTTGCGGTCGCGCGCCACGAGGCTGAGGCCCACCGACTCGGTCCAGCGCACGATGGCCACCTCGTCCGGAGACGAAGCTTGGTAGGTGACGGTGCCATCGGCCTCTACAACTGGCGTGACGTTGTGGCAGAGTGCGAGCGCGAGAACGACGTCCTTGACTCGCGAGCTCATGTCGCGGCGGCCGCGGCCGGCGAGCATGGCACCTGCCGTAGTGAGTGAGATGGGCTGCTGCGCGACGCTGCCGCTTGCCGGTGTTGGCTTTGTCGGGCTGCCAGGCTGGGCGGCGTTGCCGTAGTGCTGCTGGAGGGCTGTGGCGAGCTGCGAGGTGACTTCATCCATGCTGTCCCAGCTGTAGCTCATGGTGCCCATGTGGAGCTTGCGGAGTTCCATCTCGTTCTGTGTGAGCGTGCCGGTCTTGTCGGAGAGCAGATACTCGATGCGACCGAGCTCCTCTGGCAGCGTGGACGTTCTCACGATGGTGCCTGGGATCTCGTCGTCGTGCATGATCTGTCGTGCATACACGGTCTTTCCCATGTCGAGGTTGACCCTGAGACTGATGGGGATGATGGAGGAGAAGAGGATGAGGAAGCGGAAGATGTAGATCCACCACTCGCCCTTGAAGCCGTTGAGCGCCACCAGGCAGACGGAGAGCGCAAAGGTGACACCGCACAGGATCTTGGAAAGCCGATTGATCTCGAGATCCAAGAGGCCGACTTTGGTGCCGGGATAGGATGTGTTCATGACCGCTCTGGTCTCTCGTCCAGTGTAGACGACCATGCCGACGGCGGTGCCCGCTGCTAAGACGGTGTTGGCCCACAGAACGTTCTCGGCGGTGAGAGGGGCCACCTGAGGCTGCTGGCTCATCGGAATGACGGTGTCGGCGGGATGCGAATCGATCGAGCCGCGGGCCGGCCCTGCGCCATCAGCCGCGCTGCCGAGAAGGTCGCCGACAGCAGGACCGGAGCGATGTACGGTGGGTGGCGGTGTTGAGGATCCGTCATCGGGTGGTGGATGCAGCGTGAGATTGCCAAGGAAAGAGTGGATGTCTTTGATGGGTGGGCCGGCAAAGACCACGGCGCGGTCGCCGAGCACAGCCAAGTCGTCGGTTGGCATGCGCTGCGTGAGCTCGACGGCGATGCGGAGCTTCCAATCGGTCTCTCCGTCGAGCTGATCGGTGCGGATGAAGCAGCTGCCATTGGAGCCCTGTGCGCTCGAGTCGCCTTGGTCTTGCGACGCGGAGCCAGACTTGCCAGAGCTAGTCTCGGCTGCTTTGTCGAGGCTTGTCTCGCCATCTTCGTCATCGCCGAGGACGAATTGCGCATCATCGTCCATGGGCGTAGGCGCAACTGCGCCGCCGCTCGTGCCAATGGCAGTGTCCGTCGAAAAGGTTTGCAGGAGGACCATGTCTGCAGGAACGCGCTGGTTCTTGTCGAGGACGACGAGGTCGCCGACCTTGATCTTGCTGCTAGGCACCTGGACGACTCGGGACTGTCCGAGATCGCTACCGAGGGAGAGAGGCTTGTTGGGAGTAGCCTTGCGTGCGAGACGGGTTTGCGCCTTTGCAAGGGCAGAGTCGTTGGGAACGAGCAGCTTGTAGGGAGCGCTGTTGCTCTCGACATCCCGTTTGTACCTCGCCCAATCGTCGATTGCCTCCTTGCCGATGGTGATGCAGAGGACGAAGGCAAGAGGAGCGACGTAGGTAGCGATGAAGCCGATCTTTAGTGCTGGGATGAACTGACTGAGGGCTACGAGGAGAAAGTAGAGGTTGAAGAAGAACTTGAACTGCTCGTAAAGCACTTTGGGCAGGAAGGTGAGAATGTTGTACTTCTGGTTGCGCACGACGTTGGCGGCGTATCTGGAGCGGACTCGATCGGAGTCGCCGAGGCTGATGGATCTGCTCAGGTCGCGAGGTTTGCGATCCCTGGACGAGAAGAGCGATGCTATCAAGCCGGCTCTGCGCGAGCCGAGCTGGACGACGTGGTGGGATGATGCGGCAGGGATACCGTCCGAGTCGGCGTGCGAGCCATACTGGCGACGATGATCCTCTGAATGGCGCGGAGTGCTGTCTGTACGCTTCAAGCCATCGGGACGGCGAGATATTGCGTCTTCGCTATTTTGGAGTAGCCCCTGCTGCTCCTCCGAATCGCGGGCATTGTTCTGACCGAAGCGGCTGAATCTGGCGCGTGAGTTGCGCGAGCGGAAGGCGGCAAAGCCATTCTCGGACTGCGAGTGGTAGGATGGAGCAGGCGAGCTCCGTCCGGCGGACATGTTGGCTGAGCTTCCCAATGGTTGGAGGGGGTAGGCACCGTCAGGCTCTGGGCTCCAGGTGGACGAAGTGGCAGGGTTAGACGACATGCACGAGTATCGGTCGGGGGCGAACGAGGCGATGGAGCTGCATCTGCACGTCTTATGAGGCTGGCATCGCCATGCTGAGACGATGTGCTTGTCGGATCAGCTTTTGTTGGCGGGAGGATGAGTTGAGAGGAAGAGGTGTTGGTTGACACGTTGGAAATGGCGCAGCTGCTGCACCCTGTGGCTTTGTGGCATGTGCACAACCTCCACGCAGCTTGGCGGGCGGGCGGCGACAATTTCGATCCGTGCGAGAAAAGCCAATCGCGTCTGGGAGGGCGATGAATTCGAGGCTCATGCACTCGTCTCCACTGCATGGTCCCGTCACTTTGACCGTGATCTTCGCACTCGCCATCGTCCACCGAAACACTGACAACGTACGTACGGCCGCGTCACGAGCAAGGACCACCACCGACCAGCCGTCCAGATACTACAGGGCGCCACCGAGACTGACACGCCTGGCTGCTTTGTTTGCGGACGCTCGGACAGAATGACGACCATTCCTAGCCGTCTGGCCCAGACCACATACATCTCGAGGAGCATCGAGGAGGCGCGCCGACGCTCCACTGCGCTCTACCGCAACTTCTACCGATCTGTAAGTGTGCACGCTCACGATGATGCGGTACGGAGAGACAGTGATGCTGACCTACAGACGCAAATGCAGGCCCCCGAGATCTGCGCGCTGTACGCGCTGGACGTGCCGCCTTCGACGCTGCGAGCCAAGTTCCGCACACAGTTTGAGAAGAACAAGGCGATCAAGGACGTTGCGGTGCTGGACGTGATGCTGCTCAAGGCGCAGCAGGAGTACCAGGAGACAATGAACGGCTGGAAGCAGGTGCCTCACATCATGAAGTGGTTCGCCGACGAGGAGGTAAGTGCACGCTCAGTTCCACTCCCCATCGCGGACATCTGCCCATCGGTGCTGCCGAAGCTGACACGATCTTGTACATTGCTGGTTCACGCGCAAAGGCACCCGCACGACCCGAAGGCTTCTTGGAAAAGTTCTACGCCTCGCGAGACGAGGGTCGTGGACCTGTCGGTACGGGCATCTAAGCCGTTCGAATGGCCGGTTTCGCTCCGCTCCCCGGTGTCCTCGAAATCACAGCAATGCAAATTTACCACCGAACGCCGAACGAGTGGGATGATTGTTTTCAGCGCTCAAGTACCGACACCAGGCGCATCACGCAGACATGAAGGATCACGGGGCAAGCATGTTGGGGCCATGGAGAGGCGGCGCGAGTGCGTTTGGCGTGGGAGACCGGGCAGCTCGAGCTAGTGTATCGGAATGTCTTGCTGGCCCGGTTCGGTTGGCGCATCATCGACGCAGGGCTCGCCTCGGCAAGATCTCGTGTGTTTGTCGATGCGACACAGATGGTGCTTCCCGCTGCACGTAAGCTCAGTCCGCCGCCGAACGCAAAACAGCCGCATACAGCGCTGCGTGAATGGAGCCCGAATGCCATTCGACTGCTCAGCCCCACTGCGCTTCGCAAATTCGGCCCGAGCTTGGATCGCGAGGCTCGGACGGAATCCGATGCCGGGCTCGTGTGGGAATCGTGGCTGGTTGGGTGCGCGCTCGGATCGGAACGCATCGGTGCCACCGACGAAGAGGTGCGTGCTTGCACACCTGTCACACCCTCATCACCTCTTCACAGTGAGTGATGCCAGAGTTTCATCATGAAAGGCGCGCCACCGTGAGCCTGTTTTTCTCCTTCGTCGGTCGAGCCGGCACAATACCCTTTGTTGTCCCGACGCAAGCGCGCCACGTTTGGCCGTGTCCATTCAACGCTCGTTCTGCTCAGAAATGCGGTCGCTCCTCTGCAATGTCACCCTGCTCGGGCCAAGTGGGTAAGCGGCAAGGACGCATACATCCAGCTGTCCTTCGGCCATGCCAAACGTCTTGTCGAGATGTTCTGTATGCGCTTACTTAGCGTACAGAGGTGTGTTTGGCCCTGACGCCACTTAGAAATGGCGGTGGGCGGGAACGCACTTCGCACACCTCGGAATGAAGAGCTGTCAAACCCATGATCATGCCAGCCACGCCGCAGCTGGGACCCGCCGAAGTCACCTTTCCAGCGCCCCTTCGAATCGACCCTTTTCTTGCGCAAGGTTCACAAGGCACGAGCGTGCCCTCGGCGCGTCTTGGCATCCGGCCTCTGACGCGAGGCGACGGAGAGCATCGACAGTCCGCTCGGCAACGATCCATTTCCGGGGCCTAGCATTGGTTGGCTTTGGATCCCTCTGCTGTTTTGAAGGTCCCGCAACAGAGAAAAGTGGGGGGACATTTCGACGCGGCCCGGGAGGGATTGATTGCAAGGTGAATAGGGCAATGGCACAAGGTTGTCAAGCTGCGCCGCGCGCACTCGGACGCAGCGCAGATCTATGCAGTGCAGTCCCACCGGTCGCCTCGGTGAAGCTAAGCCAAGAGCGATGAGCCAGGCGACACATGCGATTCTGCTCAAACCCACCAGAATCGCCTCGCTGCTTTCCGCCGCCCATTTGGATCAGCGTTGCAGCATGCAGCCAACAGGCTTTCGCCCTCGACGGCCTCCCTTGACCCCGACACCTGTCACGCCCCTCATCAACGACTCAGCCGCGCCCCCGCTCAAGCTCGCCCACTGGAGTCGAGCGTCGCTATGTATGAGCCTGCTTGGATGCGGGCGCGCATATAATCTGGAGGTCAACGTGACCCCCCCTCGTCGTTCTCGCAAAAGGTATCTGAACTTGACATTCCGTCGCACTAGCACGCCCTCTCTTCGCCACCTTTGTTATCTCAGTAGCCTCCACCATGATCATGTCTCCGTCAAGCAAGCCCAACCCACTCACGACCTTTCTGTCAGAATCGCCCGCAGGTCGTCGTTCGGCTAACGGTGCAATTCCTATCTGCCTTCCTTCCAAGCCTGCGCTCGTCGCTTCGGAGCGAGTCAGTATGCTCCAGTCGCCTCCATCCGCAGCCAAAGACGCAATCAAGCAGCTCGGCTGTCTCGCATCGGTATCATCCAACACGTTGCCAGTGCAGCGTGCGCTCCAGCCGGTGGACGTCAACCTTTCCAAATCCTCCAGGCATCGTGCCCTGCCCACAAAGCGCCCGTCGTCGCCGAAAAAGGTGCGTTCAACGTCGAATGCCGGTGTCGGCGCCCGCTCCAAATCGCCCAAGCTCGCCACCCCAACTCCGTCCTCGGCACCGCTCATCTTCAGGGGCGACAGGATCAGCGTCAAGATTCCGCAGAAGCTGCCGGCTCCACGCCTGACGCCCCACTCGTCGCCGTACGAGGACCTGGTGGCGCATCTCGCGCGCCACAACCTCTTCATCGAATCGCAACAGGTGGAACAGTACTCGATTGCGCCCGACTTTCTGCTGCAGCAGTACCTCGAACTCGCGCACCTCGGCAAGTGCAGCCTCTACCACCAGACGCGCAACTTTCTCTTTGCCAACCGCGACACGATCACCGCACACGTCGTGCCCGGCCAGACGCTGCCCTCGAGCGTGCCGCTCGATGTGACGCCGCTGGTGACCGAGCTGCAAGTGCCGCCGACGCATCTGCTCGCCGTGCATTCGGACCGCGAGGCTGCCACGCTGTATGCGGTGCACGGCGTCGTGCTGGCGCTCCAGTGCGTCTCGATCCCCTTTCTCCCCGCCTCCAAGGACTCGCAGGACGGCGCCAGGGTGGTCAAGCACATGCCCGTGCTCGCACTCCGGATGCCCGCGCCACAGCACTTTGAGACGACGCTGCGCTGGCTGTACTCGCAGTCGGCCACCTCGCTGCTGCAGGAGCTGCTTCCGCTCAAGCACATCCTCGCCGTGCTGGCCAAGCGACGTCCGTGTGGCTCTGCTGTTGAGGGCAAGGACGTCGAGGCGTCGGCGGCGGCGCTGTCGACGGCGGACCTGGTGCAGGCCATGTCGTCGCTACCCATGCGCACGTTTCTCGAGCACCTCCAGACCATCCAGGCGGTGTGGAAGAACGGCGTCGCGCTCGGCATCGTTGCGTGGAACTTTTGGGCGCAGCTCGACAATGCCTGGAACCTGCTCGTCGTCGCCATGGTCGCGTCCAAGCGCAAAAACGCGCGCAAGTCCTTGGCTGCCGCCTCGGAACTCACCGCCCAACTCGAATCCACCCGTCTCGATTAATCAGTCCCTCTCTCCAACCCCTCTTTCGATATCTTTCTAGATCCTGTATACCCCGCCCGAAGTAAAAGCGACACCAAGTTCGCCATCGAATGCTCACTGTGGACTTAAATACACGCCCGCGCTGCGCGCCTAATAACGCTGTTACTGTATGTGCAAGAGCAAAGTGTGAAGATTGCAAAGAATGGATACCAAACTACTGCAGGAGGGGATCGCGGAAGTGCTTCTGGTTGTTGTTCCTGAATCCGATCCTGGTCTTGTACTGTTCTCTCCTCGACCTGTCTCTGAATTCGGTGATGTGCTTCTTGGCCTCCCTTGCCTCGCCCCTATTTCTCGCCTTGATCACCTGACCGCCACGGCCGGTGACGAGCGTTCCGTCGCCGTCGTGATGACCCATGCCGCTCTCTGCAATCAGACGACGCGCAAGGGCACCACCGCCACCGTAGCGGCGCGAAAGATCGGTCTGGTCGCGGGCAGAGCCCATGGGCACCTCGCGTAGCGACTGCTGGTAGTAGCGACGCAGCGAACGATGTCCCAACCTGGCGCCGGACGGCAGAACCAGCTCGAGCTCCGAATCACCGTAGCGGATCTGGTCATCGTGCTCCTCCGCATCGGCAGTCGCGCTCTTCTTGCCAGCCTTGGTCGTAAGGTCAAGCACCTTGCCTTCGCCATCCACGTCCATGTCGTCCTCTGCATCCTCCTCAGCATCGTCATCCTCCCACTCCTCGTCCTCGTCCGCAGGGTACGAGCTGGTAAAGTCGTAAAAGTCGCCGAGCTCCAGCTGGTCCTCGGGATCCGAGTAGGCGATCTTGCAGTGAAACTTGTCGAGCATGTGGTTGCGCACCGACTCGACGTTGTGGAAGCCCTTGCCGCGGCCGTTGCAGTAGAGGCAGATGTTGCCGATGCTCACCTTGTCCGCCAGGTACGCTACCAGGCCCGGCAGATCCACAATGTACTCCGAGTCGGGGATGAAGAAGCCGTGCGCCTTGGACATGTGTGCGAGCGTGTCCTTGAGCTCGCCAAACCCAGACTTGGCACAGAACATGCACTCGTGGTTGGGGTCGATGCGACGCGACGAGGCGACCTTGGCGTCGATGGCCGCCTGGATCTGCTCCTCGGTGGCGTCCTCCGAGACCATGAGCGTCTCGCGCGCGTTTTGCTTCTTGTCTGCGGCAGCGCCGGAGGAGGTGGCGGCATCGGCAGCCGGGGCTGAAGCCGGTTCTGCGTCGGAAGCGGTGGGCTTCGGAACTCGGAATACAAGGGGCACCTGCTCGGTGTCGGCATCGGCTGCAACGGCGGTGGAAGGGCCGGCTTGGGAAGCTGCGTTCGCCCTCTTCTTGTCGAGCTTCGCCGCGTTCTCCTTGTGCTTCTTCGAGTTGAGGTGGGCGAGGTAGGCGTTCTGGGATGCGAACTTCTTATCGCAAGCCTCGCATTTGTCAGGCGTAGCGGTGGTCTCGGCTTCCTGAGCGAGGGCTGCGCGCCTCTCGAGGATCTTGGCGTTGAAGACGTCGGCCTTGACCGGTGGCAGGTTGGCGACTCGACGCTTCATGTTGTAGCGGTGCAGATCGGAACGGTAGTGAGTGCGCTGGTCGTCCGGGTTGGGGAAAGCGATGCTGCACGAGAGGCAGGTAAAAAGTGGGGTGTCGTCGTCATATCCCTGCTCGTACTGCGGCGCAGACGAAGGCTCGCCGTTGGAGGCGCCTACGATGGTAGCCATGGTGGGCAGCAGCTGCGATTCAGGTGTGGTCGGTGTCGTGTGCGTCGGCTGCGGTGACTCCGCTGGAAAACGTCCGGGATAGCGTGCGCTTCCAAGACTTATTCAGACACTTTCTGGTGCCTGCTCAAGGTGATGAGTATGGTGTGAAGGTAAGAGTAGATGGAGAGATTCAGCCTGGACTTCGGGTCGCTTGGGCTGAGTGTGGGGATCAGCGAAATGGCTCAGTTGAGGGTCCTTCCTGCGTGTCGAATGCAGAGCGCAGCCGAAAATTTCAGTCCAACTTTCTCAGAAGCCGCCACCCACCGGCGCCAGCGCCCTGCAGGTGGAGGCCAAATTTCCTTAGCTCCGAATGTTAGCCGATACATTCAGCCCGATCTTGCCATATCGAAACGATGAAATGACGCGGAAAATCGAGTCAAAAAGGATAAAAGGGTTTAACACTTTGGGTTTTACGCTTTCGCGCGCTGCGTGGGTGTCAAACCTCGGCCGAGGTTTTACAGTTTTGAAGTGCCGGCTCCCTCGCCCGCCATTGCACCGCAGCTTCGCATGGTTTGGTCTTGAATGCACTAATGACGATTGCAGCAATCTCAGTGAGCATGGCTAAAGCAAATAATCTGGACAAGCGGTCGTCTATGCTGCGTACAAGGGCGGGAAAGGTCATACCATGGCGAGAGAGAGAGGGCGGCAGTTGGATGGGCGGCTCGTGTCACGTGCAGGCATCGCAAAGACTGGGCTGCAACTAGAAATGGCGAAATTGCGCGAGAAGACAACCTTGGCCGCTTCGGCCCGCCTGGGCAATCCTGGCCAGAGTAGCTCAGCAGCGCAAGTGGCTCCCGTGGTCGAATGAGAGACTGCTGAGCAGGCCCGTTGCGCATGCGGAGGCACGAGGGCGCAGTGTGCTCGCAGTCGCTCAGCCCGCTCAGCCAAGTGGCTGGCGAGCGGCCGCGCAGGGCGGTCCACCTAGTCGGGCTAGCAGGCTTCGCTCATCTTGACAACGATCTTCGTCATCGTCCAACACACTAGATCCATCAAGCAAGGTAAGCATCTCTTCCAGCAGCTTCGCAACCGACACATCTCGACCACACGCACCAGCACACTCGCAGTCGCATCGTTGCAGACGCCCTCGATTTGGAACGCACCTTGGCACGAAACCTTCGACTCATTTGATCGACAACCGACCGGCATCGCCTCACTCCGAAAGTTGGCTACATATACGCTTGACATCCCCCGACCATCTTGCTGATTCGACTCGCCACCATCTGCACCTTTCACGCAACCCGACCCATCAACCCGCTTCATCTCAACAGATGCAGATTTTCGTCAAGACTCTGACGGGTTAGTATCCAACATCGACATGATGCCGCCATCGATCCCATCGCATTGCATCGCATCGCATCGCATCGTATCGTATCGCTCGTCGGACAAAGGACATGTGAAGGGAGTCACAGCAGAAACAATCAGGAGGAGAACTAGTGACGGACGCGCATTAGCATCTTGGATTACGAACTTGGCGGAATGCAGCATGGCAGTAGTTGGACGTTGGACACGATCGTTGGCTAGAAACGTGGTCATGCTCGATGCGTCTATGTGTCGCACGACAGCGAATCAGTGGAAACATTCGTTGGAGCTTCAAGTCTATGTCCAGGTGGATCAACATGGATAGCAGGCAACATCTCCTTGCAGCGGCATTCGGTTGCACGGGCAGATGCATTTTGGGATCGTCTGGAGTGACCGGGAGACATCGACAGGGATGGGTTCAGTGTCTCACAGGAACGCAGCGAATCGCGATGGATGGGATCGACGGCAGCATCTACAGCCTCGAACAGGAATCGACATACTGACCTTCGTGCTCCTCTCCGTGATTGTCCACAACCACGCTTGATGCATTGCTCGCACAACAGGTAAGACCATCACCCTTGAGGTGGAGTCCTCGGACACCATCGACAACGTCAAGGCCAAGATCCAGGACAAGGAGGGCATCCC